CYWAWKGGGGTTTTTTTTTATTGAAAGCACTAATAGAAATAAATATTAATGTTCATGTTTCTTTAGACAATTCAAATACAGACATGCATTCAGATTCTTTAATGGAATATGTTTTGGTGAACTTCCGATGGGTGTTTGTAGTATTCTTCCTCCTACCCTGCACTGTGATAGGAAAAGTGTGGGCTACCTTCGAAAAAAACTTATGGTTACGTCGCCGTCTTACMGGACTTGATCACGAAAAAAAACTTAAAATCATTCAGTGCGAGGTAAATCATAAATATATGTATATTGTATTATGTTATATTGTTATAATACAATCTAATTAWGTATATATATTTTTTAAAAGAATGTGCATTTATTGTACTATACCTACAATTGAATGCAGACCGATCGTTAATTGTATTCCCTCTTCCTGTGTAGGTACGGCATAGAAATGTATACGCTCCCAACCGTGTAATGTGTACGGCCAAACCTAGTTGGAGGAGCATGACTCTGGCTGACATGACGTATAAGAAATACATGTTCAACATAAACGTCCATTTGGACGAGATGATTTCTATCGATAGTCGCAATCAGGTAAGCAATTATCGTAAGTGTATGTAGGTAATTGGTATGACCAATGGCCACAAATAATAGTTATAAATTATAATCATCGACATGTCTTTTATTTCTATATAATGGTTATTTAATATTTTACAAAGTCTACTGCGTCTGTCATCTGATATTCTGATACCATAATACATTCGCCATACGTCATACCATAGAGTGATATAATATTACATATAATATACATATATATAATCATTTAAGTAACTTAATGAGATGTTAAGTATAATTGTTAAGAATAACAGTAGATACTGAATACATATTCATAATTATTTCGATATATACAATACTATAGTTTAATATAGTACCTATATAGAACGAGAATACGATATTATACAAACATTTTGGAATTTATATTCTTAAATAAGTCACCAGCCACCAAACTTATTATATGTATACCTACCTACATAATATGTTGTAACTTGTAGGCACCTAATACCTAAAATATAAATTTTCAATTTAGACTGATCAGTGTACTACAGCGTAGATATTATATATATAGGTACCTACTGTATAGTAATATATTGTTATGTTTTCTAATATATTATAGTTATTACTGTTATTAGTGATGTGTCTGTTTGCTATCACTTAATTATACTCACATTACACATCACCTTTATTTGAGGAAGTAAAAAATGATTAGATTTATAAATTTTCAACTTTGAAGGTGGCTTTAGCCCATATGGCATAAGCCTATAAGGCTATAAAGAATCATTTCTTAATACTTTAATAGGTCTATGATTCAGCTAATTAGGTTCAGGTAAAAGATTAGATCTAAAAAGTCGGTATAATCGTATAGGTACTTTACTTAGTTTGTTAAAAAGTATAAAAAAAAGTCCAGTACTTTTCAAAATAATTACTATTAATTAGAATAACGTTTTATATTAACCATTTATTATACTGCCATGTTTCAAATATTAACCTCATAGATCATAGATGACTTATTGGAGAAAAAGGCTTGTTTTATTTTTATGAAAAATAGTCTGTAAATTTACAAAACCAAAATGCTTACTGGTCTAAGTTAATCAAGTTATTCAATTTATTGTAACTGGTTACAAGTTACATGTTACTTGATACTTTTATGTTGAGTAATTAGATATAACTTAGTTTGAAACTAAGTTACATTTAAAGCTAAAATTTGCATTGGTAAATGTATTAAAAATTATTTACTGGCCAAAGTATAGGTAAAGTAGCGTCATATACAACTATAGTTGTTAAGTTAGGAAAAAAGATATACCATTATACCAATCATAATCGTTTAACGAAGGTATAATCACCCACAGAATATTCACAATGGCCTGATTAATTATTGTCAAAAACTGAAAACCAAAAAAGACGAATTAAACTTTTTTTTTTGATTTTGCAGTCCCACTTATGATCAAAAAGTATAAAAAGCGCATTGTAATTTTTAATACGAGTAATTGTAATTGGTAACCTTCATAAAAAGTTGAAGGAAAAAATTTTACTAGTTATAGCAGTGGTGGCGTCGAGTTTATTAAAAAAAAAATTTGGTTCAATTTAACCAAAACCCAACATCTCACCTAATTCATCATTCAAAAATAGAAGAAATTAGTTAAAACACCTAACCACACAAAGCAGCTTTCTTCGCTAACAAACAACACATATTTTTATAAACAAATGTAAAGGATATTTCAATAAGGACGCTCGATGTTTCATTGTAAAAAAAAAAAAAAACAAATTGTGTATGAGATATCCTCTCAATTTTTATTTAATTTTAATGAACGTTATATGGCAATTATGTATGGAAATAGAACATCGTTTAAATGTTCACCACGGCTTTACTCGGTGGCACGTATTCGGGAGGTCCTGCAATTTTCTATCACTTTGTCACTTTGTCACGCGCTTTGTGTGATGACGTGGTGTCGTGGTGGACATCTAAACGCTGTTTTATTACTTGTACAGCATAATAGTAGTTATTTTAATATAATATATAATGATAAAAATATTATTATTATACCTGGTATTAATATAATATATTATTAACCTAACCTATCTATTTTAAATTTTGATTGCATAATGGCATACATTTATACAATATTATAAATTATTTGCGTTCTTATCAACTTACTATTTGGTTGGTGACAAGTTACAAGTTATAAGTTAAATTTAAAACGAGTAACTTGTTATAAGTTACAAAATTAACCGTATTACATAACTAAGTTACCCACATGAAACTATGATTTTCCCAACCCTGTTATTGAGTAGATCTGTTAACTTCTACCAACTCTATTATATTATACTGAAAATACTGATTGTTATAATAAGGCCTGATCGTCGGTTCAATAATTAATATTATTTATATGTACCTATAACCTCGTGATGAGCCAAATACGTATTTTGTTTGTTGATTTTAATTATTATCAATATATTTATAGACAGTCAGTGTTGAACCAAGTATTACAATGGGCCAATTAATTCCAATATTAATCCAATCTGGGTGGACAGTACCCGTCGCCCTAGATATGGAAGACTTGACTATCGGTAAATCGTATACCTATATGCATAAGCGTGCGCACGGGGGAGGCAGGGGAGGCGGTTGCCTCCCCTGCGAGATTTTCCTCTACACCAAAATATAATATTATACCTACCAATTGGAGAAAATCGGGTGGGGGGATTGGAGTCTGGACCTCCTTAGCTAAAGTATTGCCTCCCCTGCCAAGAATACCTACGCACGCTTATGCCTATATGTAATATATTTATGCATCATATTATAATAATGATAACGTCTAGAAATAATAATGGTTGTAATATAAGTGAACAGTGGTAAGTATCATAGTATTATATTATGTAATCCGTCATTTAGGAGGACTAGTTATGGGAATTGGGTTAGAATCTTCGTCTTTTAAGTTTGGATTGTTTCATAAAACGTGTACGCGATACGAACTCATCACAGCCGACGGTGATTTGATCATATGTTCAGAGGTAATTGTGTATTATATTATACTAATAATTTCATAGCTAGTTTATTTACATAATATATGATGTAATAATCGATGTAGGTATATTATTAGATATCTGATGTATAATATTTCGCATGGAAAATTATTTAACGTATGCTTAACGATTATTTTTATAATGCATTGATGATTGATATATTGCAGTCAGAGAATCCAGACGTTTTTGAAAGTATTCCGTTTTCGCATGGAACACTGGGATTTTTGACCGCTGTCGACATCAGATTAATGCCGGCGAAAAAGTAGGTGTAAAACATTGGATCAAATAAATTATGAATAAAAAATACTGCATCAATATAACACTTACAGGTTACAGCCTACCGAGTACTGGTGACTATTCTTTGGGTTATGTTGCCTCAGCCACACGTATAAAATTAGGTGTGGCTGGGTGCTCTAGATCTCTGCAGACTGCAGGTGACTGCTGGCTATATACCTATCTATATAATTATTAATTTTTAGCATAGCCTAGAAACTAACTTTCRTTAATAAATTACGTTTACAGTGAATAGGTGGTCACCAAGATACCTAGTGTAAAGTAAAATACATTCCTAGCTTCGCTCAGAATCTAAAATACCAAGAGTCTAGTAAACAATTGTGCCCTATTTTTAAAATGGGTATAATAGTTATTTGCGCCCACATGGCCACATAGTAAAATTACTAATGCCTTTTTGAATTCATTGATATTTATTTTAGACGCTGTTGTACCTAGGTAAATATTTTATTGGTGTAAAAGACAAACTTTATCGCTATAAATTATAATTATTATGTTATTATTAGGGCTAGGTTAGTATAGGATTTACAGGATATAGATTTTAAGGTACAAAATGTGATTTGGTCATCTACGAGTTCAAATATATAGTTTTTATTTTGCATTTTTTGTACTTTTTTTGAATTTGGGGTCATTTTTTTCAATTTTTGGTCATTTTAATGTTTTTTTGAAATCTAGGCAATGATCTTGTAAATTTTCATATATACTTAACGTGACCATACGTTTCGCTTTTAAGATAAGTGTCCCGTTGTCCCCAAAGAACCTAAAAATGTCCCGCTTTCAGAAAAGTCGACTTGCGGTATGTGTAGCGTCCTCTTAAGTTGCACTGCTTACCTGCTCGTAATAAAACTGTTGTTTGSCTCTCCTCTCCTAAATAATTACATTTTTTTCATCTAATTAAACATAATATTATTTACCTACCACTTGTATTAAAACATGTTTAGATATGTCAAACTCCAGTATCGTCCGATTAGTACTTTGGAAAATATTCAATCMAGCCTTATTTCAGAGACGCTTGATACAGAAAATAATGATTTTGTTGAGCTATTAATATTTAATAAACATGAAGCTGTTCTAATGACTGGACAAATGACTGACGGTGATCAAAGCACAGTAATTAACTATATCATATATTTTTACTTACATACATACGATAATATACATCGTTATCAATGTACCAAATAATATTATTAGCATGGTTTTGAACTTAATAATTTTGAATGTCAATGAGTTTTATTCTAAATTCAAAATAAATTCAATACACATTTTACATTAAGATTTAAATGCATTTTAGACCCTTGCAAAAATTTAAAAAAAAACTAAAATGGGTCATAAAATTAACATTTTGGGAACCTCTGCATATTATAGTATAATATATAAACAATAGGTCAACTAAATAAATAACGAGTGTTGGGGAAGTTACTTTTTTTATGATTAAATTACATTGTTAATATTTAATTCATTTTCAAGATTGTAACTAAATTACTCTTAAGTTACATTTTATGGAGGGGAGCCATGTTACATTACTTTTTAGTTAAAAAGTGACTTTTATTATGTTAAATAGGCAATAAGAATAGCTATAAGAAAAATATCAATCAAGAATACTTAATTTATAAATTAAAAAGCTGGTAAGTGGATATCGCTCTGCTGTACAGTAGGTTACAAGTGTGTTACTGTATTGGATGATGGTATTAAACTTGAATTCAATGATATACCATTGTATACTGAAAATGATTCTGAGTGGAAACGGTTTATCAGTCTAGGATATGTTATATACTATATTAATTTATTATACTGTTATATTTCAAAAAAAAAAAAAAAAAAAATGTAGATACCTATAAAATAAATTCCAAATTAAATCAAGTTATATTCATTATGTACCTAACAACCCAACTCAGTCATTCATAGTTGGTAGGTATATACAATTTATTATTAAGTATATTAAAATAAGTCATCAACAACATTAGCTATTAATATTAGAACATGAAGTATACACTAGAAATTTATGTACCCACGAATAATATTTTTAAATTACAACTAGGTATAGTTATTCTTGATTATTTAATATGTAATTTCATCCAAATTTGAACTTAAAATAATAATAAAAACAAATTGTGTTTGAATAGTTTTAAAATTTCTTTTGCAGCAGAATTATCTACTTACATAGAACCTTGTTTGAATTTTCAATCCTTAGCTATAAAATGTTAACATTTTATAAATTTTTAACAACTAAAGAATTTATAAGTTTTCAATTAAATACATTTTGTCAAAATTTGAACTTTAAATGGTTATAAAAAAAAGTGCCTATGTATTTTTAATATTTTCTAACTGCTATTATATAAACTTATGAGAAACCTTGTATTACATTTCCAAGTATTTTGATCCATTAGATGAAATTTTATTTTGACATTTATAGAATAAAAAACTAAAAACGAAAACTTCAAATGTCTATTAATAACTTAAAAATTAAAAACTTATAAAACTGGTTATCCAAAAAAAATTAATTAGCATAAGAGTAGAAATATAAATTGAATTCAAACATTTCAAACCATTAAGTACATTAATTTATTTGGATTAAACTCATGGTTTATAAGTGTATTGAATTAACAGCACTAAATAATATTTGTATTTGTTAATTTGAAAAAAAATAATTTTATTTCCTAGAAAAATGTCAATGAAATTGGTCGATTTTACAAACCATGGTTTTTTAAACATGTTGAATCATTCTTAATATCACAAAAGAATTCCGAAGAGTATATTCCTTTACAAGATTATTATTTCAGACATAATAATTCTTTATTTTGGGAAATACAGGTAATATTAGTTATAATAATACATTTGATACAATATTAAATTTTTGTATGTACCAATAGTAGCTAATGTAAGTATATTTGTGTACAGGATATCATACCTTTTGGTAACCATCCCGTATTTCGTTATCTTTTGGGATGGATAATGCCTACAAAAGTGGCACTGCTGAAATTAACACAAACTGATACAATCAAACGTTTGTACGATGAACATCATTTCATAGATGACTTTATACTACCAATTTCATGTCTGAAAAAATCTGTAGAAAAATTTCATGAACATTTAAATGTAATTGAGTAAACACTTGTTATATTTTGAATATACTTTACAATAACAAACGATTTAAACTATATTTGCTATAATTTTAGATTTATCCTATTTGGGTATGCCCAGCTGTTTTAAATCCCAGTAACGGTCTTATACACTCGCATGCATCAGTAGATAGTATGTACATTGATATTGGTTTATATGGTGAGCCCAATGTATCCAATTATAACTCGGGTATTGCTAAGGATTTAGAACTATTTGTTTTCAAGTTGAAAGGGTAAGTCATACTTTGCAAGTGGATATTTTTATAAATGTAATTATTTTCTTTTTCAAATTCAAATTTAGGTATAAGATGATGTATATCGGTACTCATTTGAATATGCATGAATTCAAGAAAATGTTTAATCATTATTTGTATCAGCGTGTAAGAATGCAGCTTAATTGTGAAAACAACTTTCCAGAAGTCTATGACAAAGTGAATAAGAAAGTTAGGAGATAATATTCATATCCCAATTCTATTTATAAAATAAAATTAAAAACAATGAATAGTTAATATAATTTCTAACTCTAATACTTAATGACTTTCCAGTTAAATATTAACTATAATCAGTAATGATTTGTTATTTTAATACAAGTTATTTAGCATAATTTGTTAAGCTTCTAATATTTCTTGCAACTTATATAGTTAAAAAATTGTTTTGTCTTCAAAGTAAAATAAAAAAATAAAATAATTTTAAATTTAACTAGACTAGATCATTTGGACCATACATTTTTTTTTTTACAGTTATTAAATAAAAACGAGTACCATAAATAATGTTTGCCTTTAATTATTTATAATTCAAGATCATTAGTTTACCTATACACAATGAAACAATTTGAAATAGAGGCTTTGTATTTTGTGTCTAATTTTTAATCACAAACAGGAAAAACAACCATATCAATTATTTTTTATAGTTGAATACTACTAAAAATAATAATAATAATAATACTAATAAATGAACTGTAGAAACAAATAAATTTAATCATTCAATATCGAAAAAAATCACTTATCATAGTCAATCACACACAATAGTTTAAAAAAAGTAAAAATAAWAATAATAGATTCAAAACAAATTAATGGGAATTATAATTAGAACTAATTTATGTAGGCCAAATTTGGCAATTATAAAATTATAAAAATAGTATGATTACAAAAAAAAAAAAAAAACTTAAATTATATAATACTGATTGACCATAAATATCTAGTGATCAGTGGTTGAACTCAATTATATTTTGTAAACACTCCTTATAGAATATAATTTTCCAAGATGGCATTTATACAGCCCAAAGGTTGATAAGTTGAAAAAAAAATTCTTTTTAGGATAGGCATTATTTTGAGTGGAATTCTTTAATGCATAATTTACAACTCCAGCAACCTTCTGGTGGTGATGTAAGTGGTGGTGTTAAGCAATACACATGATAACCACGGTCACAATCATCACAAAACAAAAGTTGATCCTATAATGATCAAAATAAAATTATAGCTCATTCAGTATCTTATAAGTATAAAAATATTATTATTACATCATTATCTGATGTTCCACAAATTGAACAACATTTGCATTCGATGCACTGCCAGCGATATTTTCCAACAGAAATAATCATATTTGCGGTAAATTGCAGACATGTTGGATGGCCTATAAAACATAAGTAAGTTAAGTATATTTAACAAAATAAGAAACAAAAAACATCTACCTGAACGCCCACAGTCTGAACAAGAAATCAATATTTCTGGTTGACCAGATTTATTAGATACTTCATCGCCCAAACAAAAGTCACAATAAGGTGATGGATTTGCAGATTTGTTATTGCCTCCAGATTTTGTTTTAGTATATCCCTAGAATCGAAGAATGATTACAATACTAACATACATTTAAATAATTTAGCACAAATTATTACTTCTCTTGAAACTGCTTTGTTATGTGACGTTTTTGTTGGAGTAGCAGTAGATGGAAAAGTTGAACTAGTGGTGCTGGAAGCCGCTTCATTTGGATTCAATGTCACCAGTGGAGAATTGTTTTGATTGTTTGACATCCTAGCAGAAACCCGTTTTGAGTGCGGAGCAGGAGATGCCACGGGTGTATTGTTGCTGCCCGAAGAACCTGAAACATATCACCATTGATTCGGTCCAATTGTACCTTGACCAAACCATGCATTTGGGTCTACAAATCACAATGCATACTTCAAACAGTCTTGTAGTAGGGAAGTAATTATTCCCAGAGGTGTGATGCACTGCAACTTGCACAGTAAACTTTATTCCCTACTCTTATAATTTATTATTATTTATATAAAAATAATAATATAATATAATAATAATAATAACAATAATAATAATAACAAATTCTATAACTAAATAAAACCAGCTGAAAAACTTAACTATACTAAATATAACTACCAAAAATAAATATTAAGCTATTTTATCTTCTTTTTCTGTCATCAATCAACATTTTATTTTTATATTTATACATATTAGACATACACAATTGATGTAGCAATGAAAATATAATATTAAAAAATTTCAATAGGGATTTTTAAAGTTTCAATACTATGATTGAAAGTGTAATAACTTCAATTTATTACAAATTTATATTTCCATTAAAATAAAACATTATATTACTAATTTATTGTAATAGTACAATAACAAATAATTACGGAATAATTCTAAAAATAACATATTTAGATATTTTAGGAAGAAAGAAAAGGATTACTATAAAAAAGAAAACAATAATTATTTATAACTTTATGGTTTATTTAGATTAAACAATTTGTTATACATAACCCAAAATATGTCCATAGTACAGAGCACCCCTGCCTTAATGAATTATGGACTTAAAATAGTTTAGAGTTTCATTCGGAACTGAACACAAAGGGACAATTTCCAATTTTAAGACAACTATATAATATATGACATGATAATAAATTTAGTTATTTATTTTAACTAAAAAAGATATGTGTTTGAAATATTTACTATGCATGTACTATGCTATACATGTTTGAATATATTATTTAAAATAAAGTAAAAATTAAAATCAGAGTTATTGTCTACAATGAGCCATCTTAAAAATGGATTTTGTTCATAACTCAAATATTGTTTACTTATTTAAAAATATTTGATGATTAATTCATATTCATTGCTCATAAAATACTAAATTTACTCAAAATTAACCACTACCAGGTACGCAGACAATTGTGTTAAAAACAAATAAACATAATATTATGTTTATATATATTAAGTATATATGAACATATTTATGGTATTAATTAGTGTTGTAGCATTTGAATGATAATAACAAAATTGAAATATGACAAATTTAATTATATATTATAAATATAAAACTGATTAATCAATGTTTATAAATTACAAACATTTGCCTATTTTAAAATAATTGATTGACTTTTTTTCATAAAAAATAGGCGATATAAAGCTACTCATGAAAATAAAAGGTGACCAATTAATAAAAATACAATTTATAATATTAATTTGATGCACATGTCAGGCAAATTATATTTGAGTAAATAGAATATTAATTGTTAATACATATTTTTACTATATAAATTGTAAATATTATCAAAATGTATGCAAAAATAGGTCCCATTTCAACATCTGTATTACCAACAGATAAAGTACGTGAAAAATTTAAATTGTAATGATTTGGACTGATGTGAATGATACTTTAAAAAATATATACCTTAGATATTTTATAGGTAATAATTTTAATTCATCATTTAGATTCGATCAATTATAAATTAATTTGAAAAAGTTGTACTATAAATAATTCAATATGTAAATATAAATTTGAAAAATTATTAAAACAAAAACAAATAAAATTGTAAAAAATAGACTAGAGAAAATAATTATTAAAATAAATAATAAATAATGCATTTAATGGATATAAAATGTACTTATGTTTTAATTTATAATTTAAAAGAAAATTGTCATATAAATAAATTCGTTTAAAAAAGAAACTTGTGTTTAACACATTTGAATGCATCTTTTAAAAAATTAAACTCACATTTGTTTACTTAAATTTGTATTAAGTTGTTTGAAGATGTTTATAAATAAACAATAATTAAGATGTATAGATTTTATTGCTCGAATTCCATTTTTTTTTTTTAAATAAAATATAATACTAGAATTATAGTATATATATATCAAATTTAAGCGGTTTCAAGTTGAACCGATAAAAGATTCAAAGAATTCAAGTATAATGTAACAAAATAAAATAAAAAATTCCGGTACTATATAAATAATATAATATACTTTATAACATTTTAACTCTTATGAAAAACTATGCATCTCAAATGCTCTAACGACGATAACATTTGTAATCAAAGAACTCACTATATTCTTTTCTAACTCGCCAATGAATAATAAATAGATGTTTCTTAATAATACTATAAATTGAAAAATAAACAAATAAGTCAACTGCCTAGTTAAATGATTGGTGTAGTTATAAAATATCACAATAATTTTTTTTTAGAATTTACATCATTAAAAATTACATAATTATCTATATATTATAATAAATTAAAATTCATATATGACTGTACATTGGAGGGAAGCTCATGATTTGTCCCAGATTATATGTGTAATACTGAATTTAAAATGTGCTACATATTAAATATTTGTATGCTGGTTTAACATATTTCATAATAAGGCAATAATTACTTAGTAGTACACATGGAAATATTTATACAAAAAATCTATACTAAGTGATTTAATTCAGTACAATATAGGGTTAAAATTCACTAATATAAGTAGGAATGTCTGATGTCCACAAATAATAATAAAAAAAAAAACATTTAATTTTAACAAAATAAAACAAATTATAGCTATCAGAGTATTCTATGCTATTGTGATGTTATTATTTTGGTTTAAGGACCGTGGTTATGTCACTGCCACCAGCATTATTATAATGATAATGTTGCCATAAATTGATGTACACAAGGTATGGCCCAGACCTTCACCACTAAACCCTTAAATAATATTTTCTGTCATTTGGGACGTCTGCCACCTCCATCTTATCCTTCAAACAAAAACAAACAAAAAGAGGGGCTTATTTTATTTTTATTTCTTGAAAATTAATAATGAAATATATGTTTTTGTTTAACGTCACATTCAAGCGCATATGCACTCGCCACACATGCATACACAGAGCTGGGACAAATCATGATTTAAATTTGAAAACAATTTGTATTAATAAGACAAACAAACCAATCATCAACGGACAACGAAATATTCTGATTAAAATAGTGAGTTAAATCCTAAATCAATTTGTATTCATTACCAATGGTTATCAGAGTTGCTGGTAAAGCATTGTCGTTTTAAAGGTCGATAACTTTTCAAAATGTTGTTGGTTCGAAGAGACGGAGCTTAAAATCACAATCCCTTAATCCATATAATCAAAAAGGCTTCAATATAACATGTCCAATTAACACTTACATTAAAGTCTTTTTGATTTAAATTCATGCCCAGCTCTGCATATAAATGAGAGGTACAGGGAAAACATCCCATATTTATAAGATATTGAATTAAACTTTTGAAAAACTATTAAAATTTTCCTAACATATTATTAAATTAATCAAATAACTTTCAAGTTATAGAAGAATAAAATAATATGGTTATTGGAAATTTTACAATGATGGCTA